CACCCATCTATCCATCCATCATCGATCCATCCACCACCCACCCATTTATCCATCATCCACCATCCATCCATCAATCTATCCATCCATCCATCCATCACTCCTCCATCCATTCATCCCCCTACCCCTCTCTCCCTCCCTCTCTCCATCCATCCATCCATCCATCCATCCATCCATCTACTCTGGGAGCCTATTTTTAGCTCCTGATTCATCTCCTGTTTAGCAGGGATAATGGGCATTGCCATGGTAACCTGGCTACGCTGCATTTCGGAAGGGCGATGTGGGTCTGCTTGGCAGGGAGAGGACAACAGAGAGGCCGCTTCACCTCGCACGTGTGGGAGGTGCGGGGCGGGGGGGGTGTTGTGGGTCTCAGGTGGGAGGGCAGGTGTCAGCCTGGCCTGGCCCGGTCGCTGAGGCCTGTATCACAGGACTTTGGTCTCAGCAGCAGGAAGCTTCGGACAGGTCCTGGGCTCCATCGGGGACAGAGCTACGAGGTCGGTCAGTTGAAACTGGGGGAGGCAGAGGGCACAGAGGGGTCAGCTGAGAAGAGTGGGGGGCAGCAGTGACCCAGGGAGCAGCCCTCGGGCAGGCCAGGGCGCCCTAAGAACTGGGTGTGGAGGGAGGTACCTTCCCAGAGCTGTGGCCTCAGTGGGGTGTAGCCACTCTCAGGACCCAAGAAGCAGGCAGAGGGCAGAGGTTAAAACCCCAGAGAGCAGCCAGGGGCAGCCCACAGGGGACACCCCCCCACCCTGCAGCCAGGACCTTGGAGGACGGCAGGGGCAGTGGCCATGGGCCTGGCCACAGGCAGGTGGGGCTGGGCACGTGCAGGTGTGTGAGAGGCGGCTGGCGGGAGGCGGGGTCCGGTCGGCGTCCACAGCTCGACTGTAAGGATGCCCGGCCTGCTCTGCCCGGAGTCACATAAACCAATAAATGTTACAGCCCCTGGGTGGGGAGGATGCCCACCTCCTCCTTAACAGCAGCCCAGTTTTCAGGGGACCCTCCATCGCCTCTCAGGCCCATGTAATTCATGGACCTGGACCCAGGCCTGGCCAATCAGAGAGCATACTGTCCCCTGGCCACACTGATTGGCTCAGGGTGGTCATGTGACCTGAGCTGGCCAATGAGACTCTGTCCTGGGACTTTTGTTGACCTTTAAGTTTTCGTCCGGTTGCTGAGCTGGTGGGTTGGGAGCCAGGAGCCTTGGTGACCACAGCCACTCAGGGCAGGCCCTCCCGAGAATGAAGCCACGTGGGGGGAAGCAGACCAGAGAGAAAAGGCCCCCGAATCCAGCTCCTGAGCTGAGAGCTCCCTTTCACTGGGGTGGGTTTCTGTCTGAGCTTCCTTCCTCGCCTGTCACACAGGGTCTGGCAGCGTTCAATCATGGGCCCCGAATCCTTGGCCACCCCTCCCACGGAGAGCTGGGGTGAACGTTCCTTCTCCTGAATCCCGGCCGGCGTGGGTCCTGTGGGACCTCAAGGCTTGGTCATGAAAGGCCACTGCTCCCTGCCCACTGGAGACACCGGCTCTTGGCACCCAGGCCGAGCCGCTGGGAGGCCCAAGCAGCCGGGGAGGGGGCACTGAGGCCCCCCGACAGCCAGCACCCACTCCTGGCTGCAGAAGTGACCTTCAGCCCACTGACCCTTCCCGAAACCTCAGAGAGACTCTGAGCCAGAGCCACCAGCTGGTCCCTCCCGTGTTCCCGAGGCCACCGTGCTCACTGTGCTTGAAGCCAGCACATTTCCATGTGACTTTTTTTTTTAACATATTTTGATTAATTTCAGAGAGGAAGGGAGAGAAAGATAGAAACATCCATGATGAGCGAGAATCATGGACCAGCTGCCTCCTGGCGGCCCTACACTGAGGATCAAGCCCGAAACCCGGGCCTGTGCCCTGACCGGGAATCGAACCGTGACCTCCTGGTTCATAGGTCGACGGCTCAGCCACGGAGCCACATGGCCCGGCTGGTGTGACTTTTTGCATAGCAGCAGGCGACTGATACGCCCTCCGCACAGGGGTCTTGCGAGGACTGGGCGGGGGAGTGAGGGGTGCACGGGCCTGCCGGGAAATGCCTGCTTGGTCAACAAAGATCCCTTTTACAAAGCGAGGCTTCTCGCCTGTTCCACGGGGAGATCGTGCCAAAGCTCCGTCTCTGACTGTGGAGGTGCCCCCCTCTGCGGGGGAGCAGGGACTCGGGGTCCACGTCCCACCCCCGGGCCCCCTGCCGTCCTCAGCGTCAGCCGTGGGCTGGAGGGAGCGGGAACAGGGGCAGCTCGGCATCAAGGCTGTTGTTCTGCTGCTGCCGAGAGGAAGCGCGAGAGGAAATTGTGACTAAGTGCCTGTAATTGGTGCGGGGGCGCGGGCTGCCAGACGCAGGGCCCGGCCTCGGCACGGGAGGAGGGGGTCCTCCTGGCCCCTGCCCCCCTCCCTGCGTTGGTGTTGCCTCTGAGGGGGGGCAGCAGGACCCCTGCCCGAGGGGACCCACACGCATCCCCATCCAGGTCTGCAGCGCCCCTGAGCCCCCCCTCATGTGAGCACGTCTCCTGCTGGGGCGCTCGCCAAGCTTGGCTCAAACATCAGTGCATTGAATTCTCACAACAAGCCCATGTGGCCGCCCACTGTGAGCACATTTCACTCAGAAACCGAGGCCGCCTGGCCCGGGATCCAGCTGGGAGGGCGGGCGGCGTCTGGGGCTGGTTCCCAGGACTCGGGCCCAGAGCCTGCAAGCCTTAGCCGTGCGCGTGTGCGTGTGCGTGTGCGTGTGTGTGTGTGTGTGTGTGCACGTGGGGTGGGGTAGGGGTGGGGGTCCTTGTCCTCAGCGGCTTTACTGAAGCCTGTTTCCTCCCCGCCCCCCCCCCCGGGCGGCCACAATCACCCCCCTTCGCATGGCTCACATCCAGGTCCTGGGAGTCGGCCAGACCACGGTGTGCGGGCCGATGGCCACGGTGTCCTGCCCAGGGTGCACATCTCCGGGGGCCGCTCCGTGTTGACGTCCCTGAGAACATGAGATGCACATGTCAGACCAGCCAAGGCTTCCAGCCCCGGGAGCAGTCGTCCTGGGGGAGGGACGGACTCCTGGAGGCAGGGACACGACCCCCCCACCCCTCACTCCAGGCCCACGGGACTCAGGGCCTTGGCCTGGGAAACTGGCCAGAGCCCACGTCTGCCCAACGCCCGGGTCAGACCCAGCAGCCCGCCCAGAGCACGCAGCCCGGGGTGAGGAGCGATGGAGGGTGAGCCCATCTTCCGCTGCCTCCTCCTGGGACCGGAGGCCCTGACACCCCACTTTGCTTTAAGTAGGAGGAAACCTCAGGCAGGACCCTCTGCCCAGGTGCCCAGCCCGGGGGGCTCAGGTGTGAGCTGACCCTCGGCCCAGCTTCAGCTCACCCTCCAGAGTCGGCGGGGCCTCCTTCAGGGAGTGGGGCACAGGGTGGGAAGGCACCACTGGGTGCGGTCCGGGCTGGTGCCCTCTCCCCACAGCCAGGGCCCCACAGGACAGCACCCAGGGCCCCACAGGACAGCACCCAGGGTCCCAGAGACAGCACCCAGAGCCCCACAGGACAGCACCCAGGGCCCCCAGGGACAGCACCCAGGGCCCCCAGGGACAGCACCCAGGGCCTCACAGGACAGCACCCAGACACAGGAGAGTCTCCAGCAGAGACTGACACCCAGTAGGTGAGGGTGGGTGAGGGGGCAGCCAAGACCCCCAGTGCATGCTGGGTAAGCCTGGCCAGCCCGTTTGGAGAGCTGCTGGCAGACCTGGTCCAGACCCAGGAGTGCCTGACGCCTCACCCAACACCCGCACACAAGCTCACACAGGCGGTGGGTGGCACTGGGGCCACAGGCAGGGAGCCCCTGTTCTCTCTCCGTTTTCCCTCCTCCCTGGTCTCAGGGTCATTTTCCTTTTTGTTTTTTAAATATTTTTATTGATTTCAGAGAAGGGAGAGGGAGAGAGAGAAACAGCAAGGATGAGAGAGAATCATCATTACCTGCCTCCTGCACGCCCCCCACTGGGAATGGAGCCCACAGCCTGGGCCCAGGCCCGACTCCCTGGTTCCTGGGTCCAGGCTCCACCCTGAGCCATGGGCTGGGCCCAGGTTGCTGTTTCAATGGGCTCCTGCTGGCTTCCTGGTTGCGTTTCCCCGTCCTGGTTTGAGCCTCACGCTTCGGTGCCGTGCACATTTCAGAGCGGGACACAGATCCACACGCCAACTGCCACCCGACCCGCACGGGGACCTCAGGACACTGAGTCTGATCCCCTTCCCGTGCGTGTCCGGGATCTGAGCTGCCGTGTGGTTATTTCTGGTTCTGTTCTGCAGGGATCTGTGTCTGCTCACCTCGGTGCTACTGCTCTGCTCGCCGCCTGCTCCCACCTGTCCCCTCCCCTGAGCACCAGGACCCTCACCCCGGAAAGGCGGCCTTGACCCCG